CCCCAAAACCCCAAAACCCCAAAACCCCAAAACCCCAATTTGATAGCAATTTATTGATTACTAATATTTATTCAGAGCACATCTGAGTGGCTATTTTGATAAATTTATGAAGAAATAATTCAAGATGCTCACACCAGCCAAGGAATAGATAAATCATTCGAATCAGAATAAATTTCTATGAAATATTATACTAATTTTTGTAATTTTACTTAGGCTACGAAAAATTAAATTGCGTTTCAGATTATAGATATAAAATATCAAATTTTATTTTAACATCTACTTGGGCCCTCAAGTCCACTATCTTCTGATTTTTTGATGGGTTGACACAGAAGGCTTTTTATCATGATTTCCCAATTGCTTCCCAAACAATTGCCCCACACAGTTGAACCGTTCTTTTTGGCCACTATCAGAAACCCTTCGTCTCTCGCTAGATCCAGCCTTATTGCTCTTGTGAATACGAAGGGATTCTTTGGTGGTGGTCGCAACTGAAATGTTAGGATTATACCCTAAATTCTTCATATTATACAAGTTTGATTTCTTGTTGAAATTGACTATGTTCAGCGGCTTTTGAATGTTCTTTGAGGGGTATGCTAACGAACCATAAGTGGTCTTCCTCGCCTGTGCTTGTGTTTGATTGAAATTTCCTATACCTGACCAACACAAATTAGATAGTATTAAACATTAATAGAAAATAAAAATTCTTTTATAGCTGTATCTATCACTTTTAGTGCCTTTCTTTTCATGAGGTGTTCACAGATTTAAAAATTTGAGGTTTAGTAGAAACAAATTATGATAAATCATCCAAGAAAGCTTACCAAAACCATTGTAATTAGTCTGCATAAAGTTATTCACAATCTGGAAGGAATTATTTTGAATCTTCGTCCCTCTTTTAGCACTATTATTGCCAGCTCTTATAGAAGAATTCGGATTAACAATCGAATTAGGGTAAGCAGAATTTTGACTGTAATGATATCTCTCATTATTAGAACGTATTACTACCCTTTGCTTTGATACGTTAGGTAGCTGAGGCTTCCTCTTGAGAGAATAGGGTGAACTTCTCTTCTCTCCTTTAGTAGAACCATTTAACCCTCTCGAGTCAAAGAATGATCCTTTAGCAGTATCATATCCAGAATTTCTCTTTGCGTCAGGGGCTGAATATCCAGATTTATTCCTAAAAGACCCCACCATAGTGGTTGTGAACTTAGTGTAGTTATTTATAGCAGGCCTACGAGCTGAGCTCTGAGGTGAGGAGCTCTTCTCAGTGCTAAAAACGTCACTAGGAGTCGGTTTCTTGCTTCTTCGTTTGTTATTAATCCTAGTCGAATTCACCCGATTGTTTGGATTTTGAGAGTAAGCTTTTGAATTTGTAACAATATTACTATCTTCAATAAATCTGCGAGCTACAGGAGTCAGGTGTGCAAAGGGATCTATCTTATTCTTATCTTTGATTTGAACAGAATTTCCTCTGCAAGAACTCTTAAATTGCAATGGGAATGAGGTCTTCCTTCCCAATCTGTCCATAGATTCAGAGATTTCGATATTCAATTTTCCATTGTTGAGTTCCCACTGGTTGAGCAACAAATAGTAGGAAGTCGTGAAATGATTGTGCTTGTTTAACTCAATGCACTTCTTTGTATAAATTTTTCAAGATACTTTGGCTGGGTTTATCTTCCCTAGTACTGTTTTTGAGTCTACAGCTAAGAAAGAAAAGTTACCATTCAGATCAAAATTGAAACCATACGATTCTAGGGCATCTAATATTTTATTATTCACCTAGAAGTTATGAGGTCAAGCATACTGGAATGGGGTTGACCCCAACAATAATCCCTTCTTTTTCATCAGGGACAGCAAGGTTATACCAAGGATGGTTCCTTATTTCTTGAATCGTTATTCTTGTGTTGGGGTTTGTATCCAAAATTTTCCTCATTAAATCCTTTCATTCTGGAGAAACATGGCCTGGAATTTGGTAATTGGCACCCAAAATTTTATTTATATAACTTTCCTGTATCTGGGTCTTCAAATGGAAGGTAGCCTCAAACCATGGCAAAGAGGATAACACCTCAGCTCCAGATATCAACCATCAGGCCATGATATTTCTTTCCAGCAACAACTTCAGGAGCTGCGTAGCAAGGAGACCCACAAGCTGTTTTTAAAGTACTCCCTTGCTTATAAGTATTGCTTAGGCCAAAATCAATTAGCTTTATATTCTTATTTTTATCTAAAAGTAAATTTTCTGGTTTGAGATCTCTATGGCAGATTCTCAACTTGTGAATGTACTCCACACCAGATATGATCTGTTGGAAGAACTTGCAGGCTTCCTTCTCGCGAAGTCTGCTCTTAGCAACAATATAATTAAAAAGTTCACCTCCTTCGGTATACTCCATGACCAAAAAGAGCTGTTTAGGAGTCTCAATGATCTCAAATAGCTGAATTAAATGAGGATGTCTAATAATTTTGAGGATGTGGATTTCTCTAGCAACTCTTTCAACGTCTGCAGAATCTGCTATCTTTTCCTTCTCTAAAATTTTAATGGCTACCTTCTGGCCTGTTAGAATATGGGTACCTTCCTTGACTTTCCCAAAGGTGCCCTTTCCAATACTTTTGCCTAGACAGTTAGAACTAGAATGTACCAAGGATATAATGCCCAATGTTACTAGAACTGGTATGCCCTGTTTTTGAAGAAGCTGATGTCGAAAGATGAGTCTTAGTGTTTGACTCTCTCTGTGTAATCTTCTGATAAACTCCTTGAGCTTCATTATCCTCTAAATCTTCGATTCGGTTATCAATTTCCTGCGGACGGTTGTTCCCAATGAAGCTCTTCTTGCCTGACTTTCCTTTTTCAGGAATTATTTGACTGTTTAACTCCTGGTGTTTATTTGAATGAGACCTTTCTTTATTTCTGTGCGCTATACTCTAGCTTTTTGATTCATGATGTATCTGCATTAATCACACCAAAAGCTGCCTTTGCATTTTGAGAAGTATCTATTATTTCGCTCTGATCTGAGAAATCAAGGGCTTTCCGAGGGCCATGCTCAGCCATTATATTATATTCTCTTCTAAATTATTTAAAAGTCACATTCAGTAGAGAATATTTCATAAGGGGTTTTGGGGTTTTGGGGTTTTGGGGTTTTGGGG